AGGCCTCTTGCAGCGACCGACTGGCCTCCAAGTACTGTCATTATTGTCCCAGGATAGCAGCCAAAGGGACTGGGCAGGGAAAGTGTCCTCCGTGTCTCGTTGGTAACCCTGGTAACAGGCACAAGGCTAGCATGTGCGGCTGGCACTTGATAAATAATTATCAGATAAATAACTGTATGCTTGTTTCCTTTTTCAAAATTAGAGTTGTGGTCAGGCATGTGGTTCATGCTTATAATGTCAGTTACTTGGGAGACAGAGGTAGGAGGATTGTAGTCCAAGGCCAGTCAGGCAGAAGTTCAGGAATCTGTTGTAAAAAAAAAAAAAAAAAGCTAACTAAAGGCAATAGAGCTAGGAGAGCATCTCAGGAAGTAGATTACTTGAAACCCTGAATTTGGTCCCTAGTACTGCCAAAGAAAGAATGAAAGAAAAAAAGAAAGGAAGAAAGAGAGAGAGAAGAAGAGAAGGAAGGAAGAAGGGAAGGGGAAGGAAGGAAGGAAGGAAGGTTTTCCTTGGCCAGGAAGCCAAGGAAATTCTGAAAACAGATGTAGCAGTTAGCTTTTGCTGCATAACAGATATCATAAAACCTAGCCGTCACAGCCGTGACAGCAGAGACCAGCATCCTCTGCATTTCACCATTACCTATGTTAGTGATGTTGACTAGGCTGTAGCCACAGCTGTGCTGGAACCCTTGGTCAGCCTCTACCGGTGGCAAACCCTTCTCTCCACATTCTGGCATGGGTCCCAGGGGAAGTGACCTGAGAGAGGACCAGAAGGAACTTGTATCTCCACCTCTGACCCAGCTTTGCGAGTCACCCCTTGTCACTTCTAGCCTATTCCAACCGCAGTCTGTTCAGGTTCAAAGAGAGATGAAATCAATTCTGCTTCCCCATGGGGAACACACAGTTCTGCAAGAGCATAGAAAACTATAAATGTCCAGGTGCCAGTGGCTCAGGCCTGTAATACTAGCAGCTCAGGAGGCTGAGATCTGAGGATAGCAGTTCAAAGCCATCCCAGGCAGGAAACTCCATAAGGCTTTTATCTCCATTAACCAGCAAGAAGCTGGGAGTAGAGCTGTGGCTCAGGAGCTTCAGCATTGAGAGGAAAAAGCTAAGCAAGAACATGAGGCCCTACTTCAATCCCTACTACCAACGAGAGAGAGAGAGAGAGAGAGACATTTTGGAAAGTGTACCACAGTGCCATCAGCAGGGGTGGGGGCTTCTTACTGAGGCCCAGGGAACTTGCATTTATGGCTGCAGGAAGTTGGCTTGAGCTCCCAGAAGTTTTCTAATTCGAGCTGATCTGCCCATATCCCATGCCTTGACTACAAACGAGACAGGAAGCAGAGCACAAGGTACGGGGGTGAGAAGCAGACCGGGCCTGTGTGTGGTGTGTGTGTGCTGTGTAGCCCTGGGGCCTTGGGCCATCCCTCCCTGCCTCATCTCACCATCTATAGAATGAAGGGCAGAGTAGTGCTGCAGAGGTAGAATCATTCAACAACCTTACGCCTGGCACATGGAAAGGGCCTACCAAATATTAACCATTCCTGGAAATAATTACTGATGGTTGTCAGTATAATTTCAAGCACCTAGTAAAAAAGCTCATATCACAGTATGTACTGTGGGTCATTCATTGGGGAACCATCACATTTTTTGTTTTTGTCTGTTGTTTGTTTTCTTAGCACTGGAGTTTGAACTCAGGGCCTTGCCCTTGCTAGGCAAAGGCTTTACCACTTGAGCTATGCCTCCAGATCTTTTTGCTTTGGTTATTTTTCCAGATAGCATTTTGCAGTATGCCCAGGCCAGTCTGGACTACAATCCTCCTATTTCTGTTTCCCTGCATCACAGCACATACCACCACACGCAACTAATTGGCTGAGTCTCAAAAACGTTTTGCCCAGGCTGGTCTTGAGCCACAGTGCTCCAGATCTTAGCCCCCTAAGTAGTTAAGATTACAGGCTTGAGCTATTATGTCCATTGCTGTTTTAGGAGTTGTCGATGCTGTTTTGGGGGTGCAGTACTGAGCATTGAATTCAGTATCTTGTACTTGCTAAGCAGGTGCTCTACTATTTGAGTAACACCTCTAGCCTTATTTTTTGCATTAGTGAAGGTCTGGAGTTTTCCCCTAGAATGGCCTCATACTGTGATCCTTCCTCTCTGTCTCCCTCTTAGCTAGAACCTCTGCTGGAATCACAGTCATGATTTAATCACCTCATTAGGGAACCTTTGGACCATTAATTAGCTCCTGATCCCAGTAACACCCTACTTGCAAATAAAGGACTTATCTGAGTTTATTCAGTTTTCTAGGTTTTAGAATCATGACTTGAGAGAAAAAGAGCATGTTTAATATATTGTCTGTGTTTTCCCTACTTGTATGCTATATTTCCTCTCAGTTTCCTGCCAACTGTGTGTGTGTGTGTGTGTGTGTGTGTGTGTGTGTGTGTGTGTGTGTGTGTGTGTGTGTGTGTGTGTGTGTGTGTGTGTGTGTGTGCCTGCCCATACACAAGTGCTGGTACACTGACTATATAATCCAAGTATTGGAGGAAGAGCCCATCTGTTGTCAATTACATCCCAGCCTCAGCATTAAAATACGGAAGGTGAAGAAGGGCTGGAGAGAGGCTCAAGTGGTTGAGCACTTGTCTGCCCTTAGTACCACCAACAAAACAAAACAAATCTGGTTTCTCTTCAATTCATATATATTTTTCACCTTTAATAATGTGGAGCCTGGTTCCAGTGGCTCACGCCTATAATCCTAGCTACTCAGGAGGCTGAGATCTGAAGAGCTTGGTTCAAAACCAGCCCAGGCAGGAAAGTCCCTGAGACTTTTATCTCCAATAAACCACTCAGAAAAGTGGAAGTGGCCTTGAGCTGAAGAGCTGAGGGACAGCACCCAGGCCCAGAGTTCAAGTCCCACAACTGGCAAAACAAACAAACAAACATGTGGGAACAATCCTAGCTGTTTTATAGGCCATCATACAGATTTTCAACCCCTAAAACTTACCCAACTAATGGAGCGTAATTCACCCAAAAGAATACTTGTAAGTGTCCTTGTATGTAAGTTTATTTTTTTTTATCAAAGAAGGATTCTAGATGACAACAAATAAATACTATGAAATGTATTTTACACTTGTGACTAGGTTCTGCGCACATGGGTCACAGCTCGAATGAGCTGGCAAGTGGGGGTTCTCAGCCTCTGGCTAACATTCATTTGTTCAGGTTTATTAGTCAAAGAATAACTTGTGCTTCATATTTTTCTTTTTTAAATTTGTTTTTCCTGCTTGTTGTTGTGGAAAAGTGTGAATTTGTCATTGCTTAGTTGATTTTCTGTGTCCTTAAATATTACCTAAAGATAAAACACATTTTAAACTGGCAATTACAAAAAAGAAATGCTTTAGTTCTGAAGAATTGAGTAGACTCTGTTAGATTAGGGAGGCCTTACAGACTGACTTGACTTCAGAAGATATGTCCCTCACTGTCAGTATGGGGTGGGCTTTTATTTGCTCTTAAATATATTCATTTGTATAGTGCATCTCATGTGAAATTGCTTTGTATACACTAGCCTTGAGCTGAAGAGCCGACACACACACACACACACACACACTTGGATATTCACTGTCCAGTATTTTTCATGATACGGTTGCTTTAACTTAGGGTCTCACTCTCTCACTCAAATTCTTTCCTTTCTTTCTTCCTTCCTTCCTTCTTTTCCTTCCTTCCTTCCTTCCTTTCCTCTCTCCCTCCTTTCCCTCTCTCTGTGTCTCTATCTCTGTCTCTCTATCTGTCTGTCTGTCTCTTTCCCTCCTCCAGCTGATACTGGTCTTGACCTCAGGACCTGGATGCTATTCCTGAGCTTTTTTGCTCTCTACCAGTAGAGCCACAGCTCTACTTCTAGCTTTTTCATGATTAATAAGAGATTAGAGTCCCATGGATTTAATTGCCATGCTGGTTTTTGACCTGTGATCCTCAGATCTCAGCCTTGGAGTAGCTAGGATGACAGGCAAGAATCACCAGCAACTAGCTTTGCTATGATTTCTTGCTTCTGTCTGGTGTTCTATTACACCTCAGGCCTACCTTTTTGCTGGCTTTTTTTTTCCAGTCATGGGTCTTGAACTATGGGCCTGGGCACTGTCCCTCAGCTCTTCAGCTCAAGGCTAGTGCTCTACCACTTGAGCCACAGCACCACTAACGGCCTTTTCTGTGTATTTGGTGCTGTTATTGAATCCAGAGCCTCATGCATGCAAGGCAAGCACTCCACCACTGAGCCACCTTCCAGCCTTTGCTGGTTATTTTGGAGCTAGAATCTTGAGGACTTTTCTGTTAAGTAGACTTCCAACCTCGATCCTCTAAATTTCAGCCTCCTAAGAGTAGCTTGGATGCCAGGCAAGAGCCATCAGTGCCCGCCTGGCTTGTCCTCTGTTCTTTGCTCTGTGGAAGTCTGGCAAATAAATGACCGTTGTAATTTCTGGCATCCTTGCTCCCTTCTGAGAAGCCATCCTGCTGGTACAATGTAATAAACTTTAGAAGCGAAGTTTGTGGTTGTGGCAGTCAGTGTTCACTAGTATGTGGTTGAAAAGCTTGTCCTATATGAAATGAAATTCTGTCACCCTTCTGATCCATCTTATTTGGAAATAACCTGACCTGAGTCAATGTATCAGTTCCAACCTGCAGGAGACACTTGGTTGTTTCTCTGTTGTTTGTTCCTTGGTGCTTGTCTTAGGCTTTTCTCTGATGTCTCTGTTTTTATTTATTTGTTTGTGCTGATACTGGGACTTGAACTCAGGGCCTTGTGCTTTCCCTTAGTTTTTCCTGCTCAAGGCTGGTGCTCTACCATTTGAAACACATCTCTACAGTCTTTTTGCTGGTTAATCTCTTGCTGGCTAATTGAAGTCTAATGGCATTTTCTGCTGGGCTGGTTTTGAACTGTGATCCTCAGATAGCCTGAATGCCTAGGATTACAGGCTTGAGTCCCTGGCCCCAGCTAATGTCTCTGTCTATTTGTCTCAGGTCACTCTGCTGATTGCCTTCATCTGCGTGCGGAGCTCTCCATGGACTGACTACAGTGCCTACAGCTACTTTGAAGTTGTTACTATATGTGACTTGATCATGATCCTCGCCTTCTACCTGGTGCACCTCTTCCGTTTCTACCGCGTGCTCACTTGCATCAGCTGGCCCCTGTCGGTAAGAGAACTGGCCGTGTTCCCAGTGTGCCTCCACATTGGCTCAAATTCTTCCTGTCCACTCATTCCTTCTTTCAGAACATCCTTTTCTACTTCAGCTCTGAGTTTGGGATTCTGCCTGATGTCTTACCAATTTCTAAAACATTTTTCAGTGGCAAGAAGTTCATGGCTCTCACTTCAATGTCAATTTTTCTCAGGTGACAGAGAATAGCAATGTAAGTTGGAGGAGGAACACAGAAGTATCCATGATTACAAGAATGAGAACCAGCACCTGGCCCAACCACTCATTTAAAGTACATAATTCAAAGGGTGGCATAGAAGTCCAGAGTTGTGCAATCATCACTAGAGTCAATGTTAAAATATTTAATCATCTCAAAAAGAAATTTTAGCCAGGCACTGGTGGCTCATGACTGTAATCCTAGCTATTCAGGAGGCTGAGATCTGAGGCTCATGGTTCAAAACCAGCCCACAAAGGAAAGTCTGTGAGACTCTTATCTCCAATTAACCACCAGAAAACCAGAAGTGGAGCTGTGGCTCAAAGTGGTTGAGTGCTAGCCTTGAGTGAAAAAGCTCAGGGACAGCGCCCAGGCTCTGAGTTCAAACTCCACAACCAACAACAACAAAAAGGAAAGAAAAGAAAAAGGAAGGAAGGAAGGTAAAGAACATGAACAAGAAAGGAGAAAGAAAGAACTTCTATCCCCTTTGGCATTTATCTCCCTACCTTTCATCCCTAGCCCTAAGCAGCCTCCAATCTACTTCCTGTCTTAACAAGTTTCCCATTCTGGACATTTTGTGTAAATGAAATCATATGTGTATAATCTTTTTGTCTGGCTTTTCTCACTTTGTCCCTGAGATCTCAAGGCTAGTGCTCTACAACTTTGAGCCACAGCTCCACTTCTGGTTTTCTGCTGGTTAATTGGAGATAAGAGTCTCACAGATTTTCCTTCGTGGGCTGGTTTTGAACCATGAGCCTCAGATCTCAGCCTCCTGAGCCACCAGCACCCAGCTCCTCTTTTGTTTTTCTTGTTTTCACTGGTACTGGGGTTTGAATTTAGGCAGGACTCCATCTCCTTCAGTCATACCCCTAACCCTTTGTTTTAATTCTTTTTCAGAAGGGCTTTCCAGATTTTGCTGGGGCAGTCCCCCTTGATCTTCCTACCTATCCCTCCAGCCTAGCTGAGATCACAGACAAATTCACAGTCACTCTGCCCAGCTTGTGTTTTAGATAAGGTCTCCTAGACTTCTTGCCTTGGCTGGCCTTAAACTTTGATCCCCTTATCTCTGTCTCCCAAGTAGCTGTGATTCAGGCTTGGGCCCCCAAGCTCTGCTCTTGTATTTTTATCATGAGTATAGTTGGGTTGTTTTCACCATTTGGCTACAATGAATAATGTGACAGAAAACATTCATGTACAAGGTTTTTGTGTGGGCTTGTTTTCATTTTCTTTTCCTTCTTTTTTGAGTTTTGAGGTTTTATTATTTATTATTTTTAGTTTTAGTTTTAGTTTGCGGGCATGTTTTTTGTTTTTTAATGTCAGTCCTGGGGCTTGAACTCAGGGCCTGAACACTGTCCCTAAGCTTTTTTGTTCAAGGCTAGCACTCTACCACTTGAGTCACAGCTTCACTTCTGGCTTTTTGGTGGTTATTGAAGAGTCTCAAGGACTTCCCGATCTGAGCTGGCTTTGAACCATGATCCTTATTTCTCAGCCTCCTGTGTAGCTAGGATTATAGGCATGAGCCACCAACACGTAGCAAGTTTTGTGTTTTAAAACAGTCTTGTTAGACCTTAACTTTAGGATCCTCCTTTGCTTTAGCCTCCCGAGTGCTGGTATTTCAGGTGTGTACCACTATGCTGAGTTGTATTCTCATTTTTTTTTTCCAGTCATGGGCTTGAACTGTCCCTGCATTTTTCTGCTCACTAGTACTCTACCACTTTAAGCCACAGAGCCACTTCAGTTTTCAGGTGGCTAATTAAAGATAAAAGTCTCAGAGACTTTCCTGTTGGGACGGGCTTTGAACTATAATCTTCAGATCTCAGCCTCCTAAGTAGATGAGATTACAGGCGTGAGCCACCAGCTCCTGGCTTCATTTTTCTTGGGGATATATCTAAGAGTGGAATTAAACTGTATGTTTAATTGTTTGAGGAACTGCCAGGTTGTATGCCAAAGTAGTCTTCTTAGCTGTTTTCTAAGAGTTGCAATGTCTTATCTGCTTGCTAAGGCTACTGCTGCTGCTGCTGCTGCTGTGTGTGTGTGTGTGTGTGTGTGTGTGTGTGTGTGTGTGTGAAAGTAGTCTTCTTAGCTGTTTTCTAAGAGTTGCAATGTCTTATCTGCTTGCTAAGGCTACTGCTGCTGCTGTGTGTGTGTGTGTGTGTGTGTGTGTGTGTGTGTGTGTGTGTGTGTGTGTGTGTGTGTGTGTGTGCGCGCGCCAGTACTAAGGTTTGAATTTAGAGCCTGGGCAGCATTGTCCCTTAGCTTTTTCACTTAAGGCTGGTGCTCTCCCACTTGAGCCACACCTTCTTTCAACTTTTTGCTGGTTAACTGGAAATAACAGTCTCATGGATTTTCCTGCCTGGGCTGGCTTCATGCTCCTCACATCTCAGCCCCCAAAGTAGTTTAGGATTACAGAAGTCAGCCATTAGTGATTAGTGATTGTGTTTGTTTTGTCAGTGTATTCTAAGGCCCTTCACAGCAAGGGATATAGCTCAGTAGCAGCTCCTAGTACTTCAAAGCCCTGGGCTCAATCCCTAACACTGAAAAACAAAAAGAAAGCCAGGCCCAAGTTGCTCACACCTATAATCCTAGTTACTCAGGAGGTTGAGATCTGAGGATCACTTTTAGAAGCCAACCCAGCCGAATACTGGTGGCTCACGCCTGTAATCCTAGCTACTTAGCAGGCTGCGATCTGAGGATTGTGGTTCAAAGCCAGCCCAGGCAAGAAAATCCATGAGACTCTTATCTCTGATAAACTACCAGAAAATCAGAAGTGGCACTGTGGCTCAAGTGGTAGAGCGCTAGCCTTGAGCTGAAGAGCTGAGGGACAACGCCCAGGCCCAGAGTTCAAGCCCCAACATCAATTAAAAAAAAAAATAACCCAGACAGAAAAACCCAGGAGATTCTTATCTCTAGTTAACCACCAAAAAGCTGGAAGTGGAGATATGGCTCAAGTGATAGAACTCTAGCCTGGAGTACCAAAGCTCAGGGACAAGGCCCAGGCCCTGAGGTGAAGCCCCAGAACCAGCATACATAAACAAAAAGTAGCTAGAGGGCATTGGCACTCCTGGATACTCAGGAGGCTGAAACCTGAGGGTTGTAGTTCAAAGCCAGCCCAGGCTTTGAACTTAATGATGTTGAGCAGGCAGAAGGTGACGGGGACCCTGAGAAAAAAAGAGACCCATTAAAAACTGCTCTATTGCTGAGATCTGTTGGTATACCACTCAGCTGGTGAATCTACCTGCAAGCCTGCCTTTTTTTTTTTTTTTTTGTCAGTCATGGGGCCTGAACTCTGGGCCTGGGTGCTGTCCCTCAGCTCTTCAGCTCAAGGCTAGCGCTCTACCACTTGAGCCACAGCACCACTTCTGGATTTTTCTGCTTATGTGGTGTTGAGGAATCGAACCCAGGGCCTCATGAATGCAAAGCAAACACTCTACCACTGAGCCACCTTCCCAGCCTCTGTTTTTTGTTGTTGTTGTTGTTTTGTTTTTTGTTTTTTAAGTGCTGATCCTAGGGCTTGAACTCAGGGTCTGGATGCTATCCCTGAGCTTTTGTGTTCAAGGCTAGAATTCTACTATTTGAGCCACAATTCCACTTCCCACTTTTTGGTGATTAAATTGGAGATGAGTGTCACAGACTAACAATCTTAATCCTCAGATACCAGATTCCTGGGTAGCTAGGATTATAGGTGTGACCCACCAATGTCTGGCTTGGGCATCATTCTTTATAGTTCATAGCTTCTTCATAGTCTACTTTCTGTACTGGTTACCTGCCGGCTGTGCAGCTCCCACGGCTAAACTGCAGGGAGAAGAGACTACAGCTATTCCCTTTTAGCCATTTTTTTTCCTAGTGCTGGGGTTGAACGTGGGGCCTGGGTGATATCTTTGTGCTCAAGGCTAGCATTCTATTACTTGAGCCACAGAGTCACTTCCAGCTTTTTCTGAGTAGTTTATTGGAAATAAGAGTCTCATGAAGCCGGGTGCTGGTGGCTCACGCCTGTAATCCTAGCTGCTCAGGAGGCTGAGATCTGAGGATCACAGTTCAAAGCCAGCCCGGGCAGGAGAGACCATGAGACTCCTATCTCCAATAAATCACCAGAAAACCAGAAGTGGCGCTGTAGCTCAAGTGGTAGAGCGCTCGCCTTGAGCTGAAGAGCTGAGGGACAGCGCCCAGGCCCAGAGTTCAGGCCCCATGATCGGACCCAAAAAAAGAATCTCATGGGCTTTTCTGCTCAAGTTGGCTTTGAACAGCGGTCCTCAGATCTCAGCTTCCTGAGTAGCTAGGATTATAGGTGTGGGACCACTGGCACCCAACTCACTATCTTTTCTGATGCCCAGTTGTTCCCTAGAACCAGGAGTAACCACGCAATCCATTTCTTGGCTTTGTTTTCCCTCAGGAACTTCTGCACTATGTGATCGGTACCCTGCTTCTCCTCATCGCCTCCATCGTGGCGGCCTCCAAGAGTTACAACCAGAGCGGACTGATAGCTGGAGCGGTGAGGATGTCCTTGAGCCCTTAGGAACAAGTTCTTGACTTCGTGCTCACTTTCCTCCTGGAGGGGGAACAAAAGGGGGTGACTTCTGGAACACAGTGGTAGTTTGGGGACCTTTTTTACATGTGTGTGTGTGTGTGTGTGTGTGTATGCATGCGCGCGCACGTGTGCACCACTACTAGAATTTGAACTCAGGGCCTGGGCACTGTCCTTGAGCTTTTGTGCTCAGTGCTAGAATTCTACCACTTGAGTCTCAGCTCCTCTTACAGCCTTTTTGGTGGTTAACTGAAGATAAAGAGTCTTATGGACTTTTCTGCCTGGGCTGGCTTCAAATCCTGATCCTTAGATCTCAGCCTCCTGAGTAGCTAGAATTACAGGCATGAGCCCCTGCCACCAAGCCTAAGCCTTTCTTTTCTTTTCTTTTCTTTCCCTTCCTTCCTTCCTTCCTTTTTTTTTTTTGGATGGTCTTGGGCTTGAACTCAGGATCTGGATGTTGTCCCAAGCCCTTCCAGCATTTTTTTCGAGTAGTTTATTGGAGTCTCACAGGACTTTATTGCCCAGGCTGGCTTTGAATCCGATCCTCAGATCTCAGCCTCCTGAATCACTAGGATTACAGGCGTGAGCCACCTGCACCCAACTGAGAATTGTAAAGTTTTAAGAAAAGCTCTGCTAAGCACTAGTAGCTCATCCTTATGATCCCAACTCCTGAGATCTGAGGATCATGGTTCAAAGTCAGCCCTGGCAGGAAAGCCCTGTGATACTCTTATTTCCAATTAACTACCAAAAAGCCAGAAATGGAGCTGTGACTCAAGTGGTACAGCACTTGAGCAAAAAAAGCTAAAGGAAGCCAGGCTCTAGTGGCTCATACCTGTAATCATAGCTACTCAGGAGGCTGAGATTGGATCATGGTTCAAAGACAGCCCGAGCAGGAAAGTCCATGAGACTCTTATCTCCAATAAACCACCAGAAAACCAGAAGTGTCACTGTGGCTCATACTAGCCTTGAGCTGAGGAGCTGAGGGACAGTGCCCAGGCCCAGAGTTCAAGCCCCACAACCAGCCAACAAACAAACCAAAAAAAAAAGCTAAAGGACAGTGGGCCAGGCCCTGAGTTCAAACCCCAATACCAGACAGAAGAGAAAAGAAAAGCTCAAGCCTAGTGCCCATGGCTCATGCCTGTAATCCTAGCTACAGAGGAGGCTGAGATCTGAGGATCATAGTTCAAAGCCAGCCTGTGCAGAAAAGTCTAGGAGACTCTTATCTTCAATTAACCACTAGAAAACCAGAAGTGGTGCTGTGGCTCAAGCAGTAGAGTGCTTGCCTTGAGCTGAAGAGCTGAGGGACAGCACCCAGGCCCAGAGTTCAAGCCCCACGACCGACAAAAAAAAAAAAAAAGAAAGAAAGAAAAGCTCAAATCTGTGATGGTTTTATTGTTATACTTCAAAATTCTCCAGGCCTGGGGGTGGGTATGCTCCTGAAATTTCACTAAGAGATAGAGTGTTTCTTTGAAGGTCACATAGGAAATGAATATCACTCTGAGAGATGGCCAACCTCGCCTCAATCCTAACACCCCCTAAATGATCATCCCATAATCCCATAGCTGATGCCTACTCTGCAGTCTCTGAGCAGGGTGAGGGGCAGCAGCAGGTGAGGAACTGCCCAACAACAGTGCAAGGTGAAAGGGCAGAGCTGGACTCCTGCCCAGTGTGCTGCAGGCAGACACGAAGAGATTCCCAGTGGGCTTTATAATCAGGTTTCACATAATGGTCAGTCCTAGAGTCCTTACAGCTAACATGTGCGCAGGTGCATGCCACTACTGGGGCTTGAACTCAAGGTGCAGTCTCACTTGGCTTTTTTTGCTCATGGTGGCACTTTACCACTTGCGCCATACCTCTACTTCTGATTTTTTGCTGGTTACTTGGAGATAAGAATCTCTTCGAGTCATCTGCCTGAGTCGATGTTGAACCATGATCATCAGATCTCAGACTCCTGAGCAGCTAGGATTACAGTGAGGCCCCCAAGTGCCCATTAACTTGTTTTTTTTAGTGCCACTGATGCCTGGCTCAACGAACAGCTAACATTTGTCATCTACCAGCTTTGGACCTAAGGCTAAACCTGGGCTCGACAGTCAGAAGAAATAAAACAAGCAAACAAACAAAAAGAAATGTTCATTTGCCTTAGGACATGAGGACAGGGCACACATGAATGACAATTAGTACAAAAGCCTTTGTCTTCTAGAATAGCATTCTCTACTGATATAATAATAAACTGTTTAATTATGTAGTGCAGACAGTTGGAGCCCGGGATGGTATGTAATGTGCTAATTGTGCAAAAGAGACAATGTCAGCCCAGCCAGGCCAGGCTCTAATGGGCTAATTATGTGCTCTAGACAATTGGTACAATTGGGAGCTGAGGGGAGAAGGCTCTGGGGAGGAGAGGAGGGGGGTGCAGGCTGGGGTGGGGTGCGACGGGGAGAGCAATGTTAACCAGCAGTCAGCCTGAAAAAGGAAAGCAACTCGTGTTGAAAAGGCAGCCTTTCTGGCAGCTCCCTGAACTGTTTCCATAAGTCTGGAGACTTGCCCTGCACTGTGGTGGCATAGAGACCCTGAGGTCCCTGTGTGGGTCTGGGAACCCTGCACCCAGCCCTGGCTGGCTCTGTGGCTTTAGGCTAAATAGTTGACTTCCTGTGTCTCCATTTGTTTAGCTTGGACATAAAAAGGGGCGGAGAGTAACACTAGCTTCCCCCACACAGAGCTGTGAGGACCAAGGAGTCCATTCACCTGAAGGCTTAGATCCTGGCAGGCGCTTAATGTCTGCCCTACTGCCAGTGGTGGTCCCATGTAAGAAATGTGGTTCCAGTCCTCCGCTCCCCCCCCCCACACCACCTGCCCTTGGCCATCCACTGAGCCCTCTCCCAGGTCCCAGGCCCGCCCTGAATGAAGAGCCCCAGCCTGGCCTCCTCATGCTCAGGCCCTGGGTGGGCCTGGAGAAGAGAAGACAGCGCCATCCTCGCTGCACTGTGACACAAGCTTCCATGCTGCAATTAAAGAAGCATGCAGCTGGGCGCTGGGGGCTCACGCCTGTGATCCTAGCTACTGAGGAGGCTGAGAACTGAGGATTCCAGTTCAAAGCCAGCCCAGGCAGACAAATACTCAAGACTCATCTCCAGTTAACCAACAAAAAGTTGTAAGTGGAGGTGTACCTCAAGTGGCAGAGTGCCAGACATAAGCAAAAAAGCGAAGGGACAGTGTTCAGGCCCTGAATTCAATTCTTAGTATCAGCATGAAAAGGAGAAGAAGAGGAGGTGGGGGGAGGAGCATATAACTGCTATTCTAAAATCAGGGTAGGAACAAGATATAGAATGTGGAGCAGTGTTCCATCCCAAGAATTAACGCTGGGTTTGATACCTTATTAAACTGTCCTCATGGTTCGTTCTTTCTCTTTCTTTCTTTCTCTTTTTCTTTCTCTCTCTCTCTGTCTCTCTCTCTCTCTGTCTCTCTCTCTCTCTCCCGTCAGTCATGGGACTTAAACTGAGGGCCTGGGCACTGTCTCTAAGCTCTTTTTTTTTTAATTGTGAAAATACCATAGAGAGGGGTTACAATTACAGGGGCAAGGTAATGAGTGCATTTCTTATCAAGCATTGTGGCCTCCTTTGTTTCCCTTTACCATTCCTTCCCATCTCACCCCCCCACACCCCCCTTCACCCTCATCCCTAAGCTCTTTTGCTCAAGGCTAGCGCTCTACCACTTTGAGCCACAGTGCCACTTCCGGTTTTCTGGAGGTTAATTAGAGATAAGAATCTCACAAACTTTTCCTGCCTGGGCTGGCTTTGAACTATGATCTTCAAATCTCCACCTCCTTGAGTAGCTGGGATTACAGGCATGAGCTACCAGAATGCAACTGGCTTTTTCTTTTGTAAATATGTGTTTTTTTTTTGGGGGGGGGTCTGAGTGCTGTCCCTGAGCTCTTCAGCTCAAGATTAGTGCTCTACCACTTGAGCCACAGCATCACTTCCAGTTTTCTGAGTGGTTTATTGGAGATAAGAGTCTCACGGACTTTTCTTGCCCTAGCTGGCTTTGAACCATGATCCTCGATCTCAGCCTCCTGAGTCACTAGGATTGCAGGCGTGAGCCACAAGCGCCCTGGCTCAAACATGTCTTCTTTATAACTCATGGTGTGCTTATACGCTATAATTAAAAGACTAATGATATGTAACTTTGTTCTAAAAGCAGCTTAGGAATAAAGTTTTGAATGTGTCACAGTAAAGTACAAATATGAAAGTAGATGCCCAGGCCTCCACCTTTGCCTTGTATGTGGCTGCAGAGCCAGAGAAATGTTAACACTGCCACCACATCACGAAATCCCAGTGGAGCACTACAAACTTTAATTCTACATTAAAATATCCAGTTCTACTTTTTCCTTAGTTCTTGGTCCAGAATAAAGTCCAACTCAGTTATAAAGCTAAATGTGAGCCCAGACCCAGTGGTTGCTAGAATGGAAACACAGAGAAACAGCTTCCAGGCCTGACCAGGGCACGGGAGGACACGAAGCTGGTAATCGGGCCTCTGTGGGCTTCAGCTGAGCTGGGAGGAGGTGGTTGTGTCAGATGACTCCCAAGTCTTCTTCCGGCCACAGAAAGAACGGGAAGCACAACACAGATGAGCATCAGATAGGATGTGGCCCGTGACCTTCCTCTCCTGTCTGTCTTTGCAGATCTTTGGGTTCCTGGCCACTTTTCTGTGCCTCGCAAGCTTGTGGCTGTCCTATAAGATCTCATGCGGAACGCAGTCAGCAGGTGAGTTCTGTCATCTGTATTCCAGCACCTCCTGCAAGGAGCAGGAGCAACTCAAAAGTAGGCCTTTGCCCCAGGAAGCAGGCCCACGGACAGCTCAGAGCAAGGTAGAGCAAGAAAGGATTAGCTGCTGCTTTTGGTAACTCCTCCACAACTTTAACCAATGCACTTATACAAACACTTACAGACATGATTTTTAGACATTATATATTAATGAACCCTTCTACATGCTCTTTTTTTGTTGTTTTGGTGGTACTGGGGTTTGAACTCATGGCCTTGTGTTTGCTAGGCCCTCTACCACATGAGCTACACTCCCAGATGGTTTTTGCTAGTTATTTTGGAGCTGGAACTTTTTTGTCCAGGCTAGCTTCAAACTGTGATCCTCTAGATCTCAGCCTCTTCAATAGCTAGGATCACAGGTATGAGCTACTGGCACAGAGACATACGTTGTACATTTTCATCCCATTTTTCTTTTCCCTTCCTTCCTTTTATCCTTCCTTTCTCCCTTCTCCCTCCCTCCCTCGCCACCTCTTTTTTTTTTGGCCGGTCATGGGGCTTAAACTCTGGGCCTGGGCACTGTCCCTCAGCTCTTCAGCTCAAGGCTAGCACTCCACCACTTGAGCCACAGCACCACTTCCAGTTTTCTGGGGGTTGATTGGAGATAAGAGTTTCACAGACATTCTTGCCTGGGCTGGATTTGAACCGTGATCCTCAGCTCTCAGCCTCCTGAGTAGGTAGGATTGCAGGTGTGAGCCACCAGCACCCAGCTTCTTTCTTTCTTTTCTTTCTGGTGCTGATCCTGGGGTTTGAACTCAGCGCTTGGGCGCTCTCTCTGAGTTTCATTTTACTTAAGGCTAGTGCTCTACCACTTGAGCCACAGCGCCACTTCTGGCTTTTTCTGCTTATGTGGTACTGAAGAATCGAACACAGGGCCTCATGCATGCAAGGCAAGCACTCTACCACTAAGCCACCTTCCCAGCATCCCGCCTGCCCCCTATAATTGTGTCAATAGCAGGCTTGAATTCAAGGCCTGGTTGCTGTTCTTAACTTTTTTGTTTAAGGCTAGCATTCTACCACTTGAGCCATACTTCTACTTCTGGCTTTTTGCCAGTTAGCTATAGAAAAGATTCTCATAGACTTTTCTGCCAGAGCTAGCTTTGAACCACCATCCTCAGCTCTCAGCCTCTGGTTAGCTAGGATTCCAGGCATGAGCTACCAGTGTCCTGCTTCATTCATGTTTCTTTTCTCTAAACTAGCTTTACTGGGAAATAAATCACATACCACACATAGTTCACTCACCTAAAGTGTACAAATTAGTGGTTTTCAGGATATTCACAGAATTGTGCAAACATCACTACAATTTTAAAACATTTTCATCACCTCAGAAAGAAACCCTATATCCATTAATACTCATCCAAAACCAACCTGCTGCAATTCTGGGCAAACACTGGTCTGTGCTCTGCCTTGTGGAATCGCCTGCTCTGGATATTTTTGGATATTTTGGCTTCGGGCTTCCTGTAGCCAGAAGGAGATTTGTTTGTTTGTTTGTTGTCGTGGGGCTTGAACTCTGGGCTGGGGTGCTGTCCCTGAGCTCTTCAGCATAAGGCGAGTGCTCTGCTGCTTGAGCTACAGCGCCACTTCCACCAGGGGTTTTGAGGTGAGGGCTGGGAGGAGTCAGTTGTCCTGGGCTACCTTCTGTAGCAACTCATCACAACACACAGGCTTTTATATTTCTGGTGGTGGTGGTGGTGGTGATGTGTGTGTGTATATGTGCACTTGAACTCAGGGCCTGGGCATTGTTTCTGACTTCTTTTGCTCAAGGCTAACACTTTACCACTTGAGCCACAGCTACACTCCCAATCTTTTTGATGGTTAATTAGAGATAAGAATTTCATGGACTTTCCTGCCCTGGCTGGCTTGAACCATGATCCTCAGATGAGCTCAGCCTCCTGAGTAGCTAGGATTACAGGTGTGAGCCACCGGCATCCAGCTAGACTTTGACTTTCTTCTTTTTTTCTTTTCTTTTTTTCTTTTTTCCAGTCGTGGGGCTTGAACTCTGGGCCTGGGCACTGTCCCTCAGTTCTTCAGCTCAAGGTTAGCGCTCTACCACTTTAGCTACAGCACAGCTTCCGGCTTTTTCTGCTTATGTTGTGCTGAGGAATTGAACACAGGGCAAGGCAAGGCAAGCACTCTACCGCTGAGCCACCTTTCTAGCCCCCCAGCTAGACTTTGGTGTTTCTAATGTGGTTTTTAAAAAAGAACAAAGAAAAAAAGTTCTGGCTCAAAGAAAGATACAAATTAGAACAGTTGACTCAAGCTCTCCTAACAGTCTACTTCTAAGAACTCATTTTAAAGATATAAACCAGGGCTGAGAATGTGGCTACATGGTAGAGTGCTTGCCTAGCATGCATGAAGCCCTGGGGTCCAATTCCTTAGTACCACATAAACAGAAAAGACCAGAAGTGGTGCTGTGGCTCAAGTGGTAGAGTGCAAGCTTTGAGCAAAAAGAAGCTCAGAGACAGTGCCCAGGCCCTGAGTTCAAGCACCAGGACTGGCAAAAAAAGAGATACAAACCCGTAGAAATGTATGTAAAAGTCTATTTTCAAGAGTGTTCATTACAGCATTGTTTAGTAACTTATTTTTTTATTTTTATTCCTTTATTGAGAGTAAGTGATTACATAAATTTCACAGTATTGTGGAATGGTGATACTTAGCTAAAGTCACATTAATAATAATAGTAATTTAAAAAAGAAAAAGATGGGCTGGAATGTGGCTTAGTGGTAGAGTGCTTGCCTAGCATGCATGAAGCTGTGGGTTCCATTCCTCAGTACCACATAAATAGAAAAAGCTGGAAGTGGCACTGTGGCTCAAGTGGTAGAGTGCTACCCTTGAGCAAAAGAAGCTCAGGGACAGTGCCCAGGCTGTGAGTTTAAGCCCCAGGACTTGCCAAAAATAAATAAAGAACAAGAAAACAACCTCAACCTTCATGCCCTTATAAAAGGAGACTAATTGTATAAATTGTTACATGGTCATGCAAGGACTCAATGTAAAAACCATGAGGCTAGCCGGGCGCCGGTGGCTCACGCCTGTAATCCTAGCTACTCAGGAGGCTGAGATCTGAGGATTGCGGTTCAAAGCCAGCCTGGGCAGGAAAGTCCGTGAGACTCTTATCTCCAATAAGCCACTAGAAAACTGGAAGTGGCACTGTGGCTCAAGCAGTAGAGCACTCGCCTTGAGCTGAAGAGCTCAGGGACAGTGCCCAAGCCCAGAGTTCAAGCCCACGACCCACCAAAAAATATGACTGGGAAGATGGTTCAGTGGTAGAGTGCTTGCCTCACATGCATGAGGCCCTGGGTTCAATTCCTCAGCACCACATAAGCAGAAAAAAGCCGGAAGTGGCGCTGTGGCTCAAATGGTAGAGCGCTAGCCTTAAGCTGAAGAGCTGAGGGACAGTGCCCAGGCCCTGAATTCAAGGCCCATGACCGACCAAAAAAAAAAGATGGAGAAGCCAGGTGCAGTAGCTCAGGAAGCTGGGGTCTGAGGATTGCATTGGAAGCCAGCCCAGAAAGAAAAATCTTGTGAGACACTTATCTCTAAATAACTTCCTAAAAGTTAGAGTCAAATGGTAGAGTACCAGCCTTAAGTGAAAAAAAAAAAAAGCCAAGGAACAGCACCTGGATTCAAGTGCCAATAACAGAAGGAAAAAAGAAAAGCCAGGCACTGGTGGCTCACACCTAAAATCCTAGCTATTCAGGTGGCTGAGATCTGAGGATCACGGTTCGAGACTGGAAAGTCCGTGCAACTCTTAATCTCCAATAAACTACTCAGAAAAAGCCGGAAGTGGCTCTGTGGCCCAAGTAGTAGAGCACTAGTCTTGAGCACAGAGAGGCTCAGGGACAGTGCCCAAGCCCTGAGTTCAAGCCCCAGGACTGGCAAAAAAAAAACCCACAAAAATTATAAAATAAAATTAGGCCAATGGCTCCGGAAGGAAGGAAGGGAGGGAGGGAGGGAGGGAGGGAGGGAGGGAACAAAAAAGAGAGAATAACAGCTACTGGAGTTAGAGGGTTACCACCTTCAGGTCTCCAGCAGGGCTGGGGAGGGACAGGAAGCCCCTCTTCACTACTTACCTTTTGTAGAGATGTATTTAAGAAGCATAAAATAGGCCTGGGAATGTGGCTTAGTGGTAGAGTGCTTGCCTAGCATGCTTGAAGGCCTAGGCCATTCCTCAGTATCATATACACAGAAAAAGCCAGAAATGGCACTGTGGTTCAAGTGGTAGAGCGCTAGCCTTGAGCAAAAGAAGGTCAGGGCCCATGGCCAGGCCCTGAGTTCAAGCTCCAGGACTGGCACCAAAAAAAAAAAGAAAAGCATGAAATATTCTAACAAGTTATTGCCAGGTTGAGGAGAGCATGGATCGGGACTTGGGGTCCAGCCTGTCCCTTGTGGGTGGTCTCTGTTCCTGGCAAGCTGACCTGACGTGGCCATTTCCTTCCCAAGATGCATCTGCCTGAGGGGGCGGCCCCCAGGCCTCTGAAGACAACCTGTGGGTACAGGACCTGCCACACTGAAGCACACCAAGCATGACTTCTGGAAAAGTCCTACGCCAAGTCCTGCACAGGCTGGTGGGTGCCAAGAAGACCCCCTAACCACCTACTTTACCAACATGCAGGTCTGCGGAGCTCCTGAGTCTGCAAGAGATTGTTTTTGCAATCTTCTTTGAAGAACACTTCCCTTTTGGGGACTTCCCCACTTCCTGCTCTCGGTGGCGCCTCAGGTACTGATGACCCTACTAAGCACAACCAAGGCGTTTCTGCGCTCTGCAGACAGGACCTCGGCTCCTCCGTGCTCCCAAGTGCTCCCATAGCAGCCACGCTGATTCCCCCAACTCGTCATCTGGTCTTCTGGCCAGCGTACATACAGAAACCCCATGTGATCAGCCTGTTGTCCCCTCCTTCCCTGTCCACCTTTGTCGCCATTGTGTGTGTGTGTGTGTGTGTGTGTGTGTGTGTGTGTGGTTTTTAATAAAACATTGTCCAATTGCAGAAAGCTCTTGTTTTCTTTTGTTGTGCCTGTCCCTGGGCTTTTTTGCTCAAGGCTAGCATTCTCCCACTTGAGCCGCAGCTCTGCTTCCATTGGAGAGCTCTCTTATTCCACTGGAAGAACTTTGTATCCAGATATGCCCTCAACTCCATGCTGCGCCTGTGCCTGACCGGCGAGACTTCTGTTCTCTGTTCTGGTTTTTCTTTCGTGTTGGGGGTGGGGGGAGATTGCAATAGGATGTGTTTAAGGTAACCATGTTCAGGTTTTTGTGGGGTTTTTGTTTTTGTCGATTGTGAGGCTTGAACTCAGCTTGGGCGCTGTCCCTGAGCTCTGCAGCTCAAGGCACGTGCTCTACCACTTGAGCCACAGTGCCACTTCTGGTTTTCTAGGGTTTCTGGGAGATAAGAGTCTCATGGACTTTCCTGCCTGGGCTGGCTTTGAACAGAGATCCTTAGATCTCAGCCTCCTGAGTAGCTAGGATTACAGGCGTGAGCCACCTGCATCCAGCTTGTGGTTGGTTTGCTTGTTTTGTAATTTATATTTGTGCCAGCACTGGGACTTGTATTTAGAGCACTGGGCACTGTCTCTTCGCTTTTTCACTCAAAGCTAGTGCTCTATCGCTTGAACCACAACTTCACTTCTAACCTTTTGCTGGTTAGTTAAAGAGTTTCATGGACTTTTCTTTCCAGACTGGTTTCAAACCTCTGTCCTCAGGTGTCAGCCCTCCTGAGGGGTTAGGATTACAGGCGTGAGCCTGTAGACGGTGCTTGCACCCTTATTTTTCTGTAGTATGGACTAGCTCATCTTGAAAGGAGAAGCTCAGGGCTGTGGTCACACAGTGGCAGCTCATCTTGTCCTAAATTTGCACCTTCCCTAGACTTGGGCTGTTCCGTTGGCTAGAACGAGGAAGGTAAAGGCAATGGAGACTGTAGCTACAGCGCCTCTGGGCAGGCTGAAGCACCCTCTTCCACAGAGGGGGAGATTAGCTCCCACCCCCACCCCCACCCTGCCATCCTTTCCTGTGCCCAGGGCTGCCCACAAGGGCATCATGGCTCTGGAACAGGAGCTGGTTGGGTAGGCCCAGCTTGGTTGGCTCTTAGGAACCATGCACAAAGGGGCTAGGTTTGACCAAGGGATGAGGAGCCTGGTTTGACCATTCAGGTCACACACACACAGAAAGCACAAAGCCAGGCTCTGGTGACTCATGCCTATAATCTTAGCTACTCAGGACGCAGAGATCTGAGGATCAAGGTTCAAAAGTAGCCCAAGCAGACAAACCCGAGAGACTCTTATCTCCAATTAACCAACAAAAGGCCACAAGTGGAACCGTGGCTCAAGTGGTAGACTTGAGCAAAAAAGCTTTTTTGCTAAGAGAGAGCCCTGTCCCTGAGTTCAAGCCTCAATACTGGTACAAAAAAAGAAGAGAGAGCCAGACACCAGTTGCTCATGATTGTAATCGTAGCTGCTCAGGATCCTGAGATCTAAGGATCATGGTTTGAAGCCAGCCCAGGCAGGAAAGCAGTGTGACTCTTATCTTCAAGTAATTGCAAAAAAAAAAAAAAAAAAAGCCAGAGGTGGAGGTATGACTCAATTGTAGAGCGCTAGCCCTGCAGGGAGGAGGGAGGGTGGAATAAAAATTAAAATAAAATAAACAAGGACATCATACCAGTCCTGAATTCAATAAGTTCAAGTCACAGGTCTAGTACATGAGTGTGCACATGCACACATGCGTGCACACGTGCGCGCGCACACACACACACAGAGCCAGATGTGCTCAGAGAGGAAGGGAAGTAGAGAGTGCCGGGCTGGGTGAGATCTCCAGATGTGGTGCAGCGGTGTGGTGACTGGCTGACGAACTTGGCTGAGGAGGAAGCAGCTGGACCCAAGGGCTGGGGTGGGAGGTGGGGCCTGAACTCTGAGCCTGGGCGCTGTCCCTCAGCTCTTCAGCTCAAGGCTTGCGCTCTATCACTTGAGCCACAGCACCACTTCCGGCTTTTTTCTTTTTGCCTATGTGGTGTTGAGGAATCGAACCCAGGGCCTCAGGCATGCAAGGCAAGCGCTCTACCACTGAGCCACCTTCCCAGCCCCCCCCTTGGAGATTCTTCATATCCAATTAAAACTACCAAAAAATCCAGAAGTGGTGGCTAGGAAGGTAGCTCAGTGGTAGAGTGCTTGCCTTGCATGCATGAGGACCTGGGTTCGATTCCTCAGCACCACATAGGCAAAAAGAAAAAAGCCAGAAGTGGCGCTGTGGCTCAAGTGGTAGAGCGCTAGCCTTGAGAGGAAAAAACCAAGTGAGAGCATGAAGTTCTGAGTTCAAGACTCAGTACTGACACACAAACTGAAGTTTACAAACAGGTGTAGTGAGGAGTATATAGTTGTAATCTCAGCATTAAGGAAGATCATGAATTCTAGACTAACCTGGGTTACATAGTGAGATCCTGTCCGAGGAAAAACAATAGCTGTGTGCCGGTAGCCTGTAAAGCTAGCTACTTAGGAGTCTGAGATCTGAGGATCCTGGTTCAAAGTCAGGTTGGACAGGGAAGTCCAGGAGACTCTTATCTTTGATTAACCAACAAAAAGCTGGAAGTGAAGATTTGGATCCAGGGGTAGAGGGTTAGGCTTGAGTGAAAAACTCAGAGCCAGGCCGGGTGCCGGTGGCTCACGCCTATAATCCTAGCTACTCAGGAGGCTGAGATCTGAGGATCATGGTTCAAAGCCAGCTCAGGCAGGAAAGTCCACGAAACTCTTATCTCCAATAAACCACTCAGAAAACTGGAAGTGGTGCTGTGGCTTAAGTGGTAGAGCACTAGCTTTGAGCTAAAGAGCTGAGGGACAGCGCCCAGGCCCAGAGTTCAAGCCCATGACTAAAAAATAATAATAATTCAGAGACAACACCCAGACATACCCTGAGATCAATCCCCAAGACTGGCAATAAAATAAATAAATGTCTAGAAACTACTGGCCTATAAGACGTTTCCAGACAGTCAAGCTGTCACTAGGCACCAGGAAGATGCCCAGGGCAGTGGTCCAGATGGAAGAGGTTGGACACACAGGATCTTCCTGACAAAGACCACCAGAGACACCTGATGCCTCTAGACCTCCTAAGAAGATGGAGACAGCTGGTGGCTGTTAGGCTCTTATTGACATTTTCTTGGTTAGTAGAACACAAGGGGAAGGGAAGGAGACACACACACACACACACACACACACAAACAGAATTAACTCCCCAGAGTTATGCAAAGAAAAAAAGGAACTATATGTCATCAGATCAGGCTGGGAAGGGTGAAAAGAGCCTCAGCAAGGGCGCTTGAGCACTGCTGTGACCGAGGCCACAGCCTATCAGCTGGGTGCGGGGAGGGGCGCCGGCCACCTGTCAGCCCAGCACCGTTGCCAGGTGCCCCAGTGACCCAGAAAAAAAGGAAACTTGGGTTTTTTTTTTCTACCTACACATCTCCCAATTTATAAACGTTGCCTAATGAACTTTCTAAAGATACCCTCTCATCCAAAAACTAAACGAAAACCCTGTCTGAAGTAGACGGAGCCAGCAGGGAGCATCAGTGTGTCCCCCTACCCAAGCAGGGACCTCAAATAACAACGTTCAAGGTCCTGGCAGTTTTAAGGGCAAAGTGGGGAAGTCAGCAGAAGTCAGGGCCCGCTGGTCTGCCAGCTGCTTCCGGTAGCGGGCCAGCTCTCCCTGGGGAACCCCGGAGTCCCCTGCCAATATCTGCATCTGCGTGCCGTCCGTCCCCTCTGGTCCCAGCTGGGTGCTGCTCTCGTTACCAAAACCAAACCCTACTGGGGGAGGTGGCCGAGGTGGGGCCCTACGTATCCATTCCAAGCAGCGCGCGCCCTCTGGCGGCCAGCAGGGCGCACTGCCACCTTGGTCCTGCCAAGAGTAATATTAGAAAAGATGAGTTTTGTCTGCCCAGGGCTCAGAATCGAGGCAGCACTTGAACATTTCATGGTGAGTCTTAAGTGCACAGATTCATCATCGTCCCTTTTGTTCATGGCACACTCTTTGAACATTGGTCAGTTCCTGGCCGCTGCCTTTTGAGCTAGTTCAGTTTCTTATAATGTTGGCAGCACTGAAGCAAGAATCTGGATAGAAGGAACCTACACTTAAATGTAATTGCTTGCTTCTCCATCTTGTCCTCTTCCAAGTTCACCTCTCAAACTCCCCACTTATCACCTATTTGCTTTTCTTATTCGAATCCAATTGTAGCTGTATCGATTGCTCTAAAAGCACATGTAATTCTGAGTTTGTATTTAATTGAAGATACCATGCTGTGTCATCCTGGAAGACTTATTCACTTACCACTAGGCAATACTTTCATCCTATTGGTCTCATCTTTTTTGGAGGGGAGGTAGGGGTGTCCAGAACTGGAGCTTGGACTCATGGCCTTGCATTCTTGCTCAACTTTTTCATTCATGGATAGAATTGTACAACTCAAGTCATGCCTCCATTATGGCATTTTGCTCATCAATTGGAAATGCAGTTTCAAGATCTTTTTTTGTCTGGGCTGGCCTCAAATTATGATTCTCATATTTCAGCCTCCTGTGTAGCTAGGATTATACACGTGACACCCAGCGTCACCTTTCCCTTAACCCAGGCATCACTGGATCAAGTGCCAGGCTGTCAAGGGCTTTGGCCATTTCATGTCAGTGTCACCTGACAGCATGCTGGAATCCATTCACTATAACAAATTTTTTGTCAGTCGTGGGGCTTGAACTCTGGACTCGGATGCTGTCCCTGAACTCTTCAGCTCAAGGCCAGTGCTCTACCATTTGAGCCACAGCGCCACTTCCCGGAATCCATTCACTTTTCTCACCTGACATCTGGGTGCGGTGTGTGTGTGTGTGTGTGTGTACTGGGACTGAGACTTGAACTCAGGGCCTGGGCACTGTTATCAACTTTTTTGCTCAGGGCTAGTGCTCTATCTCAGTTCCATGCCTGGCTTTTCAGTA